CCTGGGCAGTGGTCACACAGTCATGACTATTAGATGGTCAGTGCTGGTCCTAGTGTAACGTGTTCTGTCGTTGTGTCTGAATCTCTCTTTCCTTTATTTTTCTAAAATGTTAGTAACTTTTAGATTTATACCTAGCAGTGGTCAGGGCTTACTCCTGGCTCTGTGCTAAGGGATCCCTCCTGGTGGTGCTCAGGCAAACATGTATGATGCCCAGGATCCAGGGTGAGTCAACCAGGAGCAAGATAAGTGCCTTACCCATGGGACTCTCTGGCACTATCTTGGCTTTTTAATTGACTTTATTATGTCTTACTGACTTTACGTTTTTGTGACTATGAATGTTATTACCATTATTTTATTTAATTTCAAAACACCATATCTATTAATAATATACAGCCTAGTAATACACACATAAACAAACCTCCATATTTTGGTAACATTTTAAACATTTCACAGACCTATAGCAAATATGTTATATTTAACTAGATCTAATTATACGAACAAATGTATCTTATTTATTATTTTAAATTTTCATCAGTATCATATTTTTTCCTTAAATTTTTATTAGTGAAACACCATGAGGTACAGTTGTAGACTTAGAAATTTTTGTGCTTGGGTTTTAGTTATAAAATGATTGAATACCCACCCCTCCACTGGTGCCCATTCTCCACCTCCAGTGCTCCCAGTATCCCTCCCACTCCCCCACACCACCCCCATCCCACCCCACCTCTGTGGCAGGGCATTCCCTTTCGTTCTCTCTCTCCTTTTGGGTGCTGTGGTTTGCAAAAGAGGCATTGAGTGGCAATCGTGTTTGGTCTATAGTCTACTCTCAGCATGCATCTCCCATCCTGGGAAGATCCTCCCAACACCCTTTATTTGGTGCTCCCCTCTCTATCTGAGCTGCCTTTTCCCCTAGCGTGTGCAAAGCCATGGAGCAATCCTCCTGGTACTTATCACGGCCACTCTTGGGTGTTAGTCTCCTATTTTGTTACTTTATGTTCCCCAGATGAATGCAATCTATGTCTGTCCCTCTCTTTCTGACTCATTTCGCTTAGCATGATACTTGCCATGTAGTCCCACTTGTATATGAATTTCATGACTTCATCTTTTCTAACAGCTGCATAGTACTCCATTGTGTTCATATTTAATTTTAACTCATTATTCATTTCTTTTTTTGGGGATTTTGAGCCATACTGTGTGGTACTCTCAGAGAGCCCGGCAAGCTACCAAGTGTATCCTGCCCACACAGCAGAGCCTGGCAAGCTACTTGTGGAGTATTCAAAATGCCAAAAACAGTAACGACAAGTCTTACAATGGAGACGTTCTGGTGTCTGCTCAAGCAAATCGATGAACAATGGGAGGACGGTGCCACAGTGCAGTGCTACTGATTTGGTCGCCGCCATACCCCCAGCCTGACTCTACGTCTCAGGACGGCCCTCACCAAGATATAATCTGCTGGAAATTTTGGTATGCAGGTTTTGTGACCGAAACCTCCAGGCTTCCTTGGGGTCGGGATGGGCTACCTCCCCTCACCTCCCTGTACTCCCAGAAGCCTCGGCAGTCACATCCACCCCACCCAAGCTGCCACCCAGTTGAAAAGCTACTCCAGCCTTACCATCCCGATAAAAACACTGAGTGCCCTGAACAAACACCATGACCTCTTAACACCTGTCTTGCAAATCATAATGCATTAAAAAAAAAAAGGAGAGAGAGAGCAAGAAGGAAAGTGCCTCCCATAGAGGAGGCTGGGGGTAGAAGGTTGGGGTTGGGGGGAGGTGGTGGGGAAAGGGGGGGCATCGGTGGTGGGAAATGGACACTGGTGGAGGGATGGGGGTTGGATCACTGTATGACTGAAACCCAACTATGAATAGCTTCGTAAGGGTCTATCTCACGGATATCCAATTAAAAAATAATTTTTTTTAAGTAATGTGAAGTTTATGCCCAGTTCAATCAGCTTAATCAATGGCTGAATAAATAGCAGTACAGTACTCCTAAATTTAAAAAAAATACTGGTTTGGGGGCCAGTGAGTTAGTACAGGAGGGAGTTTGCTTGCCTCCAAACATGGTCCCTCAAGGCCCACCAGGAGTGATCCCTGACCGAAGAGCCATGAGTACTGCTGTGTGTACCCTCCCCACAAAAACTCGTTGGACAGGAGAGACAGTACAGAAAAAAAGGGAATTGCTTTTTTTTTTTTTTAAATTTTTATTAGTGAAACACCATGAGGTACAGTTGTAAACTTACAACTTTTTGTGCTTGGGTTTCAATTATACAATGATCAAGTACCCATCCCTCCACCGGTGCCCGTTCTCCACCATCAGTGTTCCCAGTGTCCCTCCCACCCCCCAGCCCCCATCCCAGCCTGCCTCTGTGGCGGGCATTCCCTTTGGTTCTCTCTCTCCTTTTGGGTAAAAGGGAATTGCTTTATGCATGGCTGGCCCCAGTTCTAATCTCAGGCATTGCATACGATTCTCCCTGCACTGCCAGGGGTCACTCCTTCACACAGAGCCAGGGATACCAGGGGATGCTAGGGGTGGCCCAATAAACAAAATAGGGATGAAGGACTAATACAGGGGGGAAGGTGCTTGCTTTGCACATGACCAACAGCAGTTCAAATCCCTGAGAGAGTAATTCCTGAGTACAGAGCCAGGAGTAACCCCTGAGCATCACCAGGTGTGACCCTAACCCCCCCCCAAAATTTTTTGAAGTCTTGGGTCTGGAGCGATAGCACAGCAGGTAGGGCATTTGTTTGCCTTGCACGCGGCCAACCCGGGTTCGATTCCTAGCATCCCAGATAGTCCCCTGAGCACTGCCAGGGTTAATTCCTGAGTGCAGAGCCAGGAGTAAGCCCTGTGCATGGCCGGGTGTGACCCAAAAAGCAGAAAAAAAACCAAAACACTGGATAACCTCCACTCATATGTCAGTGACAGAGAAGCAGAAACAGGAACAGACAAAACCACCAGAAACCAAGCCCTGGATTCAGCAGAGCGGAAGGTTCCAGAGGGGAGCAGGGGAGCGTCTGCCTGTCCCTCCCTCTTCACTCCTCACGCTGCGCTGATCTGTCCCAAACCCAGGTTCCCGTGGGGGCGTGGCTTCTGTGGGAGTGGGCGTGGTTTATTTCAGCCCCAGGAACCTAGTCCCCAACCTACACAGCAATATGAAGAAACAACGCAAATCCCCACCACATGGGGAGGACAAGAATCCAGAGGGAGCAGGGAGGGAAAACTGGAAGGGGAAAGGGTGCAGCCAACTGGGGCATGGGGATACGGTGCTCTGTGGCGTGGGGACATACTTCAAAGAGGTATGACATCGTACCCCTAGAAATAAATCATGTAAACTAACATTAGAAGGACCGGAGGGAGGGAGGGAGGAGGCAGAGGAATAGTACGGGAGAAAAGGTGCCTGCCTTGCATATGGCAGGTCTAGACTGGGTCCCCGGCAGCCCAGATGGTCCCCTCAGCACTGCCAGGGGTGACTGCTGAGTGTAGAGCCAGGAGTAACCGCTGGGCATCACCGGGTGTGGCCCAAACACTCTCACCCCAGAGAGAGAGAGAGAGAGAGAGAGAGAGAGAAAGAGAGAGAGAAAGGGAAGGAGGGAGGGAGGGAGGGAGGAAAGAGAGAGAAAGAAAGAAAGAAAGAAAGAAAGAAAGAAAGAAAGAAAGAGAGCAAGAGGGAGAGGGAGGGATGGAGGGAGAGATAGAGGGAAGGAGGGAGGGAGAGATGAAGAGAGGGAGGGGAGGAAAGAGAGAGAAAGAAAGAAAGAAAGAAAGAAAGAAAGAGTGAGCAAGAGGGAACGAGGGAGAGAGAGGGAGAGAGGGAGAGAGGGAGGGAGAAAGGGAGGAAGGAAGGAAACAGGGACAGTATATTGCCTTTCTGGTGTACTGATTTCTTGCTATAATTTTGAATGTTTGAGTGCTGTTTTTTTTTGTTTGGTACTATTTTTTTTTTTTTTGAGACCAAATCCCAGGGCCTGACACATGCAAGGCACGTGCTAGACCCCTGAGCTACATCCCTGGCCTTAGTTCCTCACTATCAAATGGACTGACTTTTAGTACCGTGACAGAGAGATAGTACAGTGGGTAAGGCACTGACCTTGCATGTGGCTGACTGGGACTGGATCCCCAGCACCCCATATGATTCTCCCGGCCATGCCTGAGCACAGCAGGTTTGACCCAAAAATCTAAACGAACCGATTTATTTGAAGGGCCAAAGAGAAAGCTCAATGGGCAGAGTGCATACTTTGTATACTTTACAAACAGGAGGCCTGGGTTTAATCCCCAGCACCTCACAGGTCCCCTGAGCACAGGGCCAGGAGTAATCCAGGAGCATTACCAGGTATGGCCCAAAATAAAAGTATAAAGCCAGAGGCTGGAGTGACAGTATAGCGGGCAGGGTGTTTGCCTTGCACGTGGCTGACCCAGGTTCGATCCCCGGCATCCCATATGGTCCCCAAAGACCACCAGGAGTTAATTCCTGAGTGCAGAGCCAACGCACCTAACCCCTAAGCATCATGGGGTGTGGCCCAAAAACAAAGCAAAAAATTAAACCCAATTTATTTTTTGTATTGTTTTGTTTTGTTTTTCTTTTTTGGGTCACACCCAGTGATGCAGAGGAGTTACTCCTGGTTCATGCACTCAGAAATCTCTCCTGGCAGTGCTCGGGGAACCATATGGGATGCTGGGAATCGAACCTGGGTCTGCCGCGTGCCAGGCAAACGCCCTCCCCGCTGTGCTATTGCTCCAGCCCCGTACTGTTGTTTTTGAACCACCTCCAAGCTGTACTTAAGGGTTCCTCCTGGCTCTGCACTCAGGAATCACTCCTGGTGGGATCTCAGGGGATCATCTGGGGTGCCAGGGATTAAATCCAGGTCAGCCACGTGCAAGGCGAAGTACCCGACCTTGCTGTATTATCCTTCCAGCTCCATCTTAGGTTACTTTAAAGGGTTTTCAGAAGAGCAGCAAAAGCAGTCAAAGATGCTGGACCCACCAAGGTGATGACACAGTGATCAGATACCAAGACAAGCAGCTTTATTGGCTCCAAGTGTCGGGGGAGGAGAAAGGACCCAGACTAGTCCAGGGGTCGGAAAGGGCCAAGTTCACCGCCAAACGGATTTAACTTCCCAGCCAGCTTGCCACAACACAAGGCCTCCCCTTGTTCGAGTCCCGCGATACCTTCCCAAACGCAAGGATGATGAAAGCAATTTCAAAATCAACTTTACAGATCTTAAGAGTTGTTTTCAGCAGAGTTCAAAAGTCCCACCATCTTCAAAAAAAAAAGTTCTCTTGCTAAACACAGCAGCAAGAAGTTCTACCCAAGCAGTGAGTGACAAGTGGCCTCAGTGAGCCGATGATGACTCTCGTCCCGGTTTCCCCAGTCAGGCCCGAACGGGAGATGGAAGGGCAGGAGCGGAGGACGGGCACAAGGGCTCACTTCCCCAGGTGGCATCTGGGGATGGCATCTGAGGCTTGCTGGGAGGGTCCGGGCCCTGCATTCAGTCAGAGTCGCTGCTGGAGGAGGAGGAGGAAGAGGAGGAATGCTGCAAGGGGAAAGGGAGAGGGAAGAGCATCAGAACCAAAAGACCTTTGGTCACTTCCTGGGTCTGCAGGGCCCTATTCCACCACCCCAAACCTCAGGCACCCCGGAAGAGTCAGGAGCATTCAGCCACTCACTGACACGCAAAAGCTGTAGTTTCCTTCAGCAGTGAAGCAGTGCACACAGGAATAATTAAACCACTATTTCTTGGGGCTGGAGCAATAGCACAGCGGGTAGGGCGTTTGCCTTGCACGCGGCCGACCTGGGTTCGATTCCCAGCATCCCATATGGTCCCCCCAAGCACCGCCAGGAGTGATTCCTGAGTGCAGAGCCAGGAGGAACCCCTGAGCATGGGCTGGGTGTGACCCCCCCAAAAAAAACACCACTATTTCTCAATCTTCTTCCCACTGTGCCCCACATCTGACCTTAAATCCTTCCCACACCACCACCCCCCCCCCCGTCCCCAATCAGTTTGTCCCATAATCTCAGGCCACGGTCCCCCATTTATGCTATAAACCTCTTGTAATGTCCTGGGGGCTCACAGGACCATATGGCTCCTGGCTAAGGGGCACTAGATTCTATCATTCTAATTCTTTAGGGCTGGAGAGATGGTACAGAGGGTCTGAAGCGTCTGCCTTGCACACGGCCAACCTGGGCTCAATCTCCAACACTCCTCAGCAACACTCGTGGAAATTAAAAAAATTAAGCCCAAAATTGAAAAAAAAAATCATTGTAGTTTATTGCATGGAATTCAACATACGGCATCTGAACCAAAGCCTTCATTTTCATTTCATTTCATCATCCTGTTATTCGTCGATTGCCTCGAGCAGGCCCCAGTAACGTCTCTTTCATCCCAGCCCTGAGATTATATTCAAGGCTACTTAGGAGAATGAGACCCATCATTGTTACTGGTATTTGGCATATTTGGTAGGCCACGGGGAGTTTGCCAGACTCTGCCCTGTGGGCAGGCTACATTCGATAGCCTACAAGTTTGTCCGAAACCAAAGCCTAAGTGAGGAATAAGTTAGAGGCACAGACATAAGACAGTGCTGGGATGTAGCTGCTCTCTGATCCGTGTTTATTGGGCAGCTACAAGGAAAGTTTCTAGAGGCCAAAGACCGAAGGAAAATGAACAGAAGCAGCAACTGCATCGGTCTCTACCTTTCCCTCTGCCCTAACTGGGAGAAAATGAGGGGAAAGAGGATAGCAAAGTTCAAGTCCAGGTTATTTACTTGGTATTCTCACCTGCGATTTTTCAGTTAACATCGTTCCAGGTCACAGAGATACCACAGGGATTAAGGCACTTGCCTGGCAGGCAGCCAACCCCGGTTCAGTCCTTAGCACCGCATATGGTCCCCCAAGCACTGCCAGGGGTCTCTCCTGAGCACAGAGCCGGAAACAGTCCCTGAGCACCAACCAGGTGTGGCCCGAAAACAACAATCAAAAACAAACAAAAAACACTCGAGAGGCAGGAGAGGTAGTACAGGGGTAAGACAGTCTAGGGGTCGTGCATGTGGCCAACCTGGGTTGGATCCCCAGTACCACGTGGTCCATTGAGCATCACCCACAGAAGTAACTCTTAAGGGGCTGGAGTGATAGTCGTGGCTAGGGCACTTGCAATGCAAGTGACTGACCCCAGCACGTCCATCTGGTCCCCGAGCACTGCCAGGAGTAATTCCTGTGTACAGGACCGGGAGTAACCCCTGAGCATTGCCGAGTGTGGCTCTCCCCGAAACAAACAAACAAAAAGACCCACATGGTCTCCCTCTCACCAGCAGGAGTGACAACTAAGCAGAGAGCCAGGAACAGCCCCCAAGAACCACCAGGTCTGTCCCACTAAAACCAAAAACTACAATAACAACAACAAAACCATATTTGAGAGCTTAGAGATAACTCAATGGGTTGGAGTGAGTGCTTTGCACGTGGGAGGCCTGGGTTCGACCCCTGGCAACTCCATAGTTTCTGAGCACAAAGCTGGGTGTACCCCAAGACAAACAACTGTAGCACTGTCCTCCCGTTGTTCATCGATTTGCTCGAGCGGGCCCAATAACATCTCCATCATGAGACTTGTTGTTACCGTGTTTGGCATATCGAACACGTCACGGGGAGCTTGCCAGGCTTTGCCGTGCGGGCGAGATCATCTCGGCAGCTTGCCGGGCTCTCCGAGAGGGGCGGAGGAATTGAACTCAGGTTGGCCAAGTTGGCCGCGTGCCAGGCAAACGCCCTACCGCTGTGCTATCGCTCCAGCCCGAGACAAACAGCAACCAAACATATTTGAGTGTCTCCAGGGTAATTTCTACCCCATTCAGCTCTCACCTCTCCGCCACTTCAAACTTCTGCCAAAGATCCAGAACCAGGAACTAGAGCTCACAGCCCAAAGGGAACCACCTAGGGTGCTGGGGACGGAACCCAGGTTGGCTATACACAAGGCAAGCATTTCACGGGCTGTTCTATCCCTCTGGCCCCAGCATTATAATTTATACGACACCCTGAGAACATTAAGGAGAGAAAAGAACTCCAGTAATTCGGGCCAGGTTACTCTTCACTATCATAGGATTGTTTTGTTGGGCCAGAGTCAGCTCAACGAGTAAGTGCATGCAGGGGGTGCAGGTTTGATCCCTGGCATCACACGGTCCCCTGAACACTGCTGAAGTCAGAAGAATCACCAAGTATGACGTCAAAACACAGGGGCCAGGGGCTGGAGTGATAGTACAGCGGGTAGGGCGTTTGCCTTGCACGCAGCCGACCCGGGTTTGATTCCCAGCATCCCATAGGGTCCCCTGAGCACCGCCAGGGGTAATTCCTGAGTGAAGAGCCAGGAGTAACCCCTGTGCATTGCCGGGTGTGACCCAAAAAGCAAAAAAAAAAAAAAAAAAAAAAAAACCCACAGGGGCCAGAGAGACAGTACAGTGAGTCAGGACCCTGCGCTGTATGCAGCTGACCTGTGTTCAAGTCCCTGGCGTCCCATATGGTTCCCCAAGCCCGGAGTGATCGCTGAGCACAGAGCCAGGAATAAGCCTTCAACACAAGCCAGGGGTGGTTGCGTCAACTGACTGTACTGCATTTTGACCATTACCAACCAGTGAATATGTCCAACCTAGTAAAATATTCCTGGGGGGGCAAAGTCGGAAGCAAAAGTTCTGGGAAACAGAAAGGCCGAGAAAGACACCTTATTCGGACATCCCATCCAAGGCGCCACCTAGCCACTGACTGACAGAAAACCCCATGAAGGGAATACTTCGTTTCAAGATGATCGGATTCTTCTCAGTGGGAGTCCTTCACAAACCATCTGCCAGAGTCACACCATCACTGCCTCGCGTTCTCGGACCATGAACCCCTCTCCTTCACCCCCGGTCCACCTTGAGCCTCGGAGGGGGTATCCTCTCCCACCCGGGCCCCCGAGGGCACTGACCTTGCCGTGCTTGTGCTGCTTGTGCATCTTTTTATGGGCTTTCTTCATTTTCTTCCGCATCTTCTTGTCCATCACCATGCCCGGTACTACCATGCCCGGAGCCAACGGATTCACAGGAGGCATGCCAGGAGCAGATGGCGGGTATGGAGGTGGGCAGGGACCAACGGGCTGGCCACCTGGATATGCTGGTTGAGGCATAGGTTGAGGGGGCACACCTGGCGGGTAAACTGGATTTCCCTGAGGAGCTCCAGGGGGGACCGGGTAGGGGGCGGGAGGAAAGGCAGGATTGACAGGCGGTTGGACAGGAGCGTTAGGCGGATAGCCCACGTTAGGGGGATACGGAGTTTGTCCTGGGGGAAGAAGTACAAAATGAATTAAGATTAGAGCGGCCCGAGAGTTTCTGACGACAAACGACACAACAGAAAGTAGGGGATTCTGCTTCTCACTTACGACTTAAAGGGAAATAGGAAGGTGGAAAGGAGGCCAGAGCGCTAGTACAGTGGGTAGGACGTTTGCCTTGCACGCGGCAGACCCGGATTCAATCCCCAACATCCCATATGGTCCCCCGAATCCGCCAGGAGTGATCCCTGAGCACCGCCAGGTGTGATTAAAAAAAAGAAAAGAAAAGAAAGAATGAAAGAAAGAAAAGTGAAAAGGGGAATGGAGCAGCCAAGGGAGACAAAGTGAGTAAGAGAGAAAGGGCAACCCGTGGAGGACGGGGGAGGGAGGGAGATGGCGAGTCAGCCACCAGCTAAGGACTTTGCTTTTTCTGCTCAGGAGAGAAGCGGTGGAACGAGAGAGACTTCTGGTCGTGGGACCCATTTGAAGCAGGCTGGCAGGAGATATTTCTGTACACAGTGTTCCTCAATTTTTCTCCCAACGTGGACCCCTACAGATCTTGCTTCCTTCCTGTGGCCCACCTGTCAAACCAGCTTGCCCCATAATCTCAGGCTTCCTATGCCCAACCACCCCCCTGAGCCCCTGCCCTGGCTGGCAGATGGCCTTCACCTGTGTAAACACTGCTCCAGACACCTACCAGCATTGGGATTCCACATGTTCAGGAGGTTTTGCAGCCTAAGGAAAAAAAGAAGGCAAAAATCTGACTCCCGAGGGGCTGGAGAGAGAGCACAGCGGGTAGGGCGTTTGCCTTGCACGCAGCCGACCCGGGTTCGATTCCCAGCATCCCCTATGGTACCCCGAACATCGCCAGGAGTAAGTCCTGAGTGCAGAGCCAGGAGTAACCCCTGTGCATCGCCGGGTGTGACCCAAAAAGCAAAGTAAATAAATAAAAATAAAGGCAAATATTAAAAAAAAAAATCTGACTCCCGAGAGGTTGGGAAAGGGAGCGAGAGAGTTAGCCCAAGACCAACATCTTCCTGCTAATAGACACTCACTTAGAGAACTGCCTGTCCCTTATGGAAGAAAAGTGTCTTTGGAAAGACAGTATCGTGGGTAAGGGGTATGCCTTGCATGTGGTAGACCCGGGTTCTGTCTGGCACCCCATATGGTCCCCTGAGCACCGCCAGGAGTAACTCCTGTGTGCAGAGCCAGGAGGAAGCCCTGTGTGTCACCAGGTGGGACCCAAAAAGGAAAAAAAAGAGAAAGAATTCTTTGCACTCAGTGCCTAGCTTATCTCACGGGAGTTCCAGCTCCCAAGGCCCGGCCCAGCGGTGACAGCTCCGACCTGGGCAGAGTCCACCCAGGTGGCAGTCGGCTCTCCTTATCTCTCCTGTTGGTCACTGCGTCGGGGTGACGCTTTCCACTGGGGGCACCGCGCCCCAGGGTCGGGGTCCAGGCTCTGCTCGGAGGAGCCACAGACGTGGTGCCGAGGATCTACAGGGGGTCATCACACGCAAGACCAGCCTCTGCCCCTGCCCGTCCAGAGGGCCTGAAGCCCCCCGGGGAAGGGAGGTGCCAAATCACCGCCTAAGGCAGAACGCCCCCACCCCACTCCAGGTCATCACATGCAAGACCAGCACTCGGCCCCTCTACTGCCTCCCCATCCCGGGTGGGTCTGGGTGGCCTGAAGCCCCCCTCGGGTAGGGGAGGTCCCGAATCACCGCCTAAGGCAGAAGGCCCCCACCCCACTCCAGGGAAGGGAGGAGGGGCGTTCGGGAAAGACCCGCAGACGCTTAAGCACTCTGCAGACACGCCCCCTCCCCACTCAGGAGGGCAAGAGGAGACCCCCTAAGCCAGGGATAGGGAAAGGAGGAGACCGGGAAAGCCAGAACCACGGTTACCTTCCTTCGCACCCGGGAGTCGGACGCGTCCTCCGCAGCCCGGGCACTCGCTTCCCGGCCCTCCCCGCCCTCCCTCCTGCGCCCGCCTCTGCTGCAGCCCCATTGGGCCTGGGGAGCCAGCCGGCAGCATGATTGGAGGACGCGAGGGTCAATCACTCCGGCTCCTCCGGGGACCCGGCCGGCCAAGGGGCGGGACCGCCCTTTAAGGCGCGGCGGGGCGGGCCGGAAGCCCCGGGGGCGGGGCCTGGAGGGAGGGGCGTGTCCGGGGCGGGGCCGAGGAAAGCGGGGCAGGCCCGGCGAGGGGCGGGGCCGGGTCGGGATGGGCGGGGCCTGGCCGGGGAGGGCGGAGCCTCCGGCCGCTGAGGTCACGCCCAGCGTCCCGGGCTCTGCGCGCTGCACGCGGCCGTAATAGGGCTCAGTGTGCGGAGCAGGGCGAGGGTCTGCTGCTGCGTCTCGGCCCCCCGCTGGAGAACTTGCCAGCTCCCTCCTTGCCCCGGGGGAAAGGAAACAAGCAGCATTCCTGGGGGAAACGACGGAGGTTTCCTGATTCCTCCCAGGCTTCCCGCTGGGAATTGCGGCTCCACCGACCCCCCACAGCCAGCATCAGCAGGGTCCGTTTTGATGGTCTCCCGAGTCAATCTCCAGTCACTCCACTTCTCTCTGTCTTACCTCCCAGTTCCTCTCAAGTGATTGCTGGAAAACGCCCCTCCACCCCCACCCCGGTTTGGTGGTTTGCTCTGGTTTGGGGGCCACAACTGGCCGTGCTCAGGGCTTACTCCTGGCTCTGCGTCTGGATCACTCCTGGCGGGACTCGGGCTGTATGGACTATGGACTCCCCGGGCAGGCTGCATGTAAGGCAAGTGCCCTACCCACTGTCCTGAAAGAGGAAGCCTCAGTTTACCCTTGCCAGCTACTGTGAGCAGTACCGGGTTTTGTTTTGGTGTTTTTTTTTTTTTTTTGGCTGGCCCGTCCTACAATTTTGCAAATTCCTGGGCTCTTCTGATAAACAGGGAGTTAATTGTCCATCATAAAATTCTACCTCTGAGCTTTAGGCTCACAGGGAGACTAAGATAATGGACAATAGCTGGGGCAGATGGCCAGAAAGGCTCAAGCCAGGCAGACCACCCTGTAGATTCCCTGCGTTCTCTGTAATACTTGTCAATTGATAAGAAATGCCAAGAGCCTTTAAAAGGCTCACACAAAGCTTCTACTTTTAATTTAGTCCTATACTAAGTTCCTCCCCACGTGGGGAGTTCCTTTTCCTCCTCTTCTACTTTCCAATAAATTTCTACTTTCCAACTCTCGAGTCTGAGCATGGTTTATTACTCAATATTTTCATTCTTGAAAATACTGTAGAACCTGGGAATCATGTACAAACAGACCCACTGTCGCCTCTCCAAGCTCATCTGCATCACTACACTGCTCAGGTCCTAAATATATATATATATATATATATATATATATACATATATTTTGCTTTCTGGGTCACACCCGGCAATGCTCAGGGTTTACTCCTGGCTCTGGACTCAGGAGTTACTCCTGGCGGTGCTCAGGGGACCATATGGGACGCTGGGAATCGAACCCGGGTTGACCACATGCAAAGCAAACACCCTACCTGCTGTGCTATCGCTCCAACCCCCTAAACATATTCTTATTTTTGGTTTTTCAGCCACACCCAGAGGTGCTCGGGGATCATGGGGAACCATATGCAGTGCCAAGAATCAAACCCGAGACAGTCACTTGCAAGGCCACTGGGTGTGGCCTCAACCCGCCTCAACCCTACACACACACACACACACACACACACGCGCGCGCGTGCCCGCCTGCACATAAAGTAATAAAAAGAAAAAAGACTTTGAGTCAGTTCTAAAATATGCAACAAACACAGAGGAGTAACCCGGAGGATTATAAATGGTTACATCAAAGGGAAGTAGTAAGTGGTATAGTCTGTCTGCGATTGTCAGAAAAGATTGGATTTGGGGGAGGAAAATCCTTTGTATGATGAGAAAAGGGTCTGGAAGCAGTAACAGAAAGAAGAAAAAGGAAGGAAGGTGTATACTCGTTCCTTTCTGTTACTGTTTCCAGACCATTTCCCTATCGTACAAAGAACAGCTATAACGCCAAGAAGAGCAATGACCGTTTTATTGATGGAGGAAGGTGATGGGGTGTTCAGAGAAGAGATTAAAAATACAGATTTCCTAGATTTCCTATAGATATTGTAAGTATGCAGAGTAGCATGAACCATGTTTTTCTTTTTGTTTTGTTTTGTTTTGTTTTGAGGCCACACTCTGATGCTTAGGGGTTACTCCTGGCTCTGCCCTCAGGAATCCTTCCCTGGTAGTGCTTGGGGAACCACGTGAAATGCCAGGGATCCAACCCAGGTCTGCTGGTGCAAGGCAAACGCCCTACCCGCCATACTATTGTTTCATCTTGGTTTTCTAAGAACTTTAAGGAGGCCTATAAGGAAGGCAGGTGAAGGTATTAAACTATGTCAGTGTATGAGCGTCATTCTGTTATTAATAAACATTTACTGAAATTGGACCTGAGAAAGAGAAAGATCAGTATGCTGAGTAGATGGGGCTGGAGTGCAGAGCCAGGAGTAGCCCCTGAGAATTGCTGAGTGTGACTCAAGAAGAAAAAAATTAAAAAGAAATGACAGAGAATCACACATTCCGCTTTCTGAGAAAATCAATTAGACTCTCCTAAGAGTTCTCAGTGGAAGAACCAAAATTATCATCTAAGTCTTCTGATTTTTATGCTGGCCAGCACTTCAAGATAACATACCCTCTCAAAAATACTGCAGATAGGGGCTGGAGTGACAGCACAGCAGGTAGGGCATTTGCCTTGCACACGGCCGACCCAGGTTCAATTCCCAGCATCCCATATGGTGGTGCTCAGGGTAATTCCCAATTACTCCAAGCACCGGCAGGAGTAAGTCCTGAGTGCATGAGCCAGGAGTAACTTCTATGCAACGCCGGGTGTGACCCAAAAAGTTAAAAAAAAAAAAAAAAACCTGCAAATAAACATTGTAATACCACAATTGTCCTCTGGTTCTCACTGTCTACGATCTCTCTGAAGATTTTTTAAAATTAATTAATCTATTAATTTACTGAATCACTGGGAGATCAACACTTACAAGGCTGTTCATGATCGGGACTCAGTCCTACAGTGTGCCAACACCCATCCCTCCACCGGCGTACATTTCCCAGCACCAGTGTCCCCAGGTCCCCTCCCATCATCACCACCCCCCCAGGCTGCCTCCATGGTAGGCACCTTCCTCTGAAGCCATTTTGGAGGTGGTGGTAGCTTTTGTTTAGTTATTCTCCCCCACCTTTCCTTTCATTGTCTTCATGCTCTTGCGGTCCTGGGTCATGTATTTGTTGCGATGATGGAGGGATGATTTTTTCTTTTGGCTTTTTGGGTCACACCCGGCAATGCACAGGGGTTCCTCCTGGCTCTGCACTCAGGAATTACCCCTGGCGGTGCTCAGGGGACCATATGGGATGCTGGGAATCGAACCTGGGTTGGCCGCGTGCAAGGCAAACACCCTACCTGCTGTGCTGTTGCTCCAGCCCCAATGATGATGGAGGGATGGAAGGGAACACACAGAGTTATCCACGGTGCTGATCAGGGTTGGCTGTTCAGCCCACGTAAGGGCTCAGAGTCTGGGCTGGACATTTTGTTTTGTTTTGGCCAGCGGGGTTCCGAGGCCACTCTGGGCTCCGTGATTGCTCAGAGATTGTCACTCCTGGTAGTGCTGAGAGAAAGTCAACCTGATCATCCTTATCTTTATCCCCCAGCACCTCGAAATCGGTTTGTTTGTTGCTTTGGTTTTGCAGTACTGGTGATCCAGAACCTCGCACATTCAAAACATGTGCTCTACTGCTACATATGTGACTACATGTATGTCTACATGTATATCTACATGTGTCCATATATGTGAGTCTGGAACCTGATACATTCGAGATTTGTGCTCTACTGCTGCGTGTGTCTCCATGTATGTCTCCATGTATGTTTATGTGTATCTGTATGTGTGAGTCTGGAACCTGACACATTCAAGACATGTGCTCTACTGCTGGTCTCTAGCTTCACTTTTCTTTTGTTACTTTGGAGTATTTTGTTAGTTTCTGGGCCACACCCAGCAGTGCTGAGGGCTTACTCCTGCCTCTGCTCAGGGATCACTCCTGGAGATGACTGGGGGACGATATACGGTGCAAGTGCCCAGGGTACTATCACTCCTGCCCCTCTTTTGTTGTTTTGACCTGACCTGACAGTGCTTAGTTCCTGAGCTGAGACCTGGGCCTCTCACCTACAAAGCACGTGCTCAATCTCTTGAGTCCAGAATAATTTTTGTTTGTTTTGCTTTTTGGGTCACACCCAACGACGCACGGTGGTTAACTCCTGGCTCTGCACTCAGGAATGACTCCTGGTGGTGCTCAGGGTTACCATATAGGATGTTGGGAATCGAACCCGGGTCGACCGCGTGCAAGGCAAACGCCCTACCCGCTGTGCTATCGCTCCAGCCCTCCAGCATGATTTTTAATAACTGAAAATCCCTGTTGTGTGATTAAAACCCATTGACCTTGGCCCCATCTCTAAGTTTTTCTGAGCCCTTTCTTTCCTCCTCTGCATTGCTCATAGCAACATCAAGAGAAAGAGAGGCAGACTGTTGAGCAGAGGAAAAACATAATGTAAGTATGGTCTATAGATTATCTAGGGCCCAGAGCGATGGTAAAGTATGTATAGGTCTTTTCCTGTCTCTAGTCCACCTGGACTTGATCCCCAGCACCCCATATTATCGCCTGAGCCCTGCCAGGATTGACCACTGAGCACAGAACCAGGAACAAGCCCTGAATTCTGCTCGGTATGTCCCAAAGATGATGAGAAAAAGAAACCTTGATTTACAGTGTCCTTCGGGGCTCCACCACGTGGTTTCCTGAGCTCCACAAGAGAGCGAACCCCGCCCCCACTCTGCCAGAGATGGCCTGAAAACAAACAAGCAAACAAAAAGGTGTCTGCTGAGGCTAGGTGTTGCACAAGATCGTCACGTTTTTTTACCCTCAAATGGTCCAGCAAGCAGGATTGAGACTTTTTAATTTGTTTTGTTTTAGGACTTCACCCAGTGGTGCCTAGAGGTCACTTCCGGTAGTGGGGACCTGGTGTTGCCAGGATCAAACCCAGAGCTCCCTTTTGCATGCACTCAGCCATCGAACCATCTCTCTAAGCCCAGGGTGGGTATTTGAAGGGGGCAGGGTTTGGAGCACCTGACTCTGCTCGGGGGCTATTCTTGCCTCTGTGATCCTATTGGCACTGGGGGACCATCTGAGACACTGGGGGACAAACCGTTGTTGGCTGCATGCAAGGAAAGAGCCTTCGCATCCTCATTGATCTCTGGTCCCTTGAAGACCCTTTCTATTCTCTCCCTCCCTCCCTCTCTCCCTCTTCCTCTTTCTTTCTTTCGTTCTTTCTTTTTATTTCTTCCTTCCTTCCTTCCTTCCTTTCTTCCTTTCTTTTTTCCCTTCATTCCTTCCTTCCTTCCTTCCTTTTCTTCCCTTCTTTCTTTTCCTTCCTTCCTTCCCTTCCTTCCTTTCCTTCCTTCCTTCCTTCCTTCCTTTCTTCCTTCCTTTCTTCCTTTCTTTTTCTTCCTTCCTTCCTTCCTTCCTTTCTTCCTTTCTTTTAATTCCTTCCTTCCTTTCTTTCTTCCTTTCTTCCTTTCCTTTCTTTCTTTCTTTCTTTCTTTCTTTCTTTCTTTCTCTCTCTCTTTATGTTTCTGGATCACACCTGGTATTGCTCAGGGCTTATTCCTTTCTCTGTGCTCATGAATCACTCCTAGCAGTGCTTGGAGGACCACATGCGGTGCCATGGATCAAACCAAGGTCGTCCATTTGCAAGGCAAGTCTCTTTACCCTTGTACCAACTCTCTAACCCCAAAGATGGGCATTTTTACACAGGATAAAACTGCAATTCCTGGAATGAAAAGGTAATACAGCAGGTAAGGCCTCGCACGCAGCTGACCCCATTACCTGAGCTAACACTGCATATGATCTTTAAAATCCTGTCAGGAATGATCCTTGAGCACCACCAGGGAGTGACTCATAATAACGGAGCGGCCTCGGGTGAGAAGGGAAACAGGCAGAGAAAACACAGGAAAGAATAAAGAAAAGAATCCTCGGCATAGGGCTGGAGAGATGGCACAGCAGGCAGGGCCCTTGCCTTGTACGCTGCCTACCGGATTAGCTCCCCGTCTAGACCCCCACAGCACCAGCAGAAATCCCTGAGTGCAGAGCCAGGAGCAAGCCCTGAGCCCCACCAGGTGTGGCACGCAAACCAAAATGAAATGAAAATTAAAAAGGAATTCTCAGCAGGGCAGGACCAGAATCACTGCATAGCATGTAGAGTGTTTGCCTTGCATGTGACCAACCAGGGTTCAATCCCCAGCATCCCGTATGGTCCCCCCGAGCCTTCAAGGAATGATCCCTGAGTGCAGAGCCAAGAGAAAAGCCTGGGCACCTCCCAAACCACCAGACTACCAAACTGCCTCCAGCCCCCAAATACAGGAATGCTCTGCATGACTTACGATGCCCTGACCAGAGTTCTTCACACCATCTGTACTCACTCCCTGCCACATGCCCTACATCTTGGCTCCCTAGTTTGGACCACAGGATCCTGTGGTCTACTTGACAGTGGGGACCTTGGGCTGCCAGGATCAAACTGCAACCAGCAACTCTTCTGGAAAACTGTTCATTCAAGACTCAGTTCCGGGGCTGAAAAGATAGTAAGTACTGCTGTACCAACTCTTGCCTTGCACATGGCCAGCCCAGGTTCATTCCTGCACCCCAGATGACCCCAAGCCCACCAGAAATGATCCTTGAATTCGGAGCCAGGAGTAAACCCTGAGCACCATCAAGTGTGTCCCCCCACCTCCCAAAGAGATCCAGTTCAATGGAGCCGAAGCAATAGTACAGCAAACAGGGCACTTGCCTCATGTACAGCCAACCTGGGCTCAGTCACTAGCACCCCATATGGTCCCCTGAGTCCTATCAGAAGTGATTTATTTATTTATTTTTGCTTTTTGGGTCACACCCAGCGATGCACAGGGGTAAGGTAAAGGTAAAGGCCCTCCCGTTGATCGTCGATTTGCTCGAGCGGGCCCAGTAACGTCTCCATTGGAGACTTTGTTGTTACTGTGTCTGGCATATCGAATACTCTCGGTAGCTTGCCGGGCTCTCCGAGAGGGGCGGAGGAATCGAACTCGGGTCGGCCATGTTGGCCGCTTGCAAGGCGAACGCCCTACCCGCTGTGCTATCGCTCCAGCCTCGAGCACAGGGGTTACTCCTGGAATTACTCCTGGCAGTGCTCGGGGGACCATATGGGATGCTGGGAATTGAACCCGGGTTGGCCGCGTGCAAGGCAAACACTCTACCCCGTGTGCTATCGCTCCAGCCCCCAGAAGTGATTTCTGAGCACAGAGACAGGAGTAAGCCCTGAGCACCTGGCCACCCCCCAAAAAAGACCCAGCAGAAGCTGTCTGTGGGGGAGGCCATCCTACTGACTCTCCCCCTGCAGTGGCCAAGGTCCATGCAGAGAGCTGGGGCTCCTGCTCACCTTCAGAGCAGTCCGTCCACCATGCCCGTCCGCCTCTCCCACCAAGTGAAAGGAGAAGAAAACGAGGAAAGACGAGGAGCCCAGGATCACAGGAAGCGAGGCCCAAAGACGCAGACCCTGAAAGGCAGATCTTTCTTGTCTTTTCTAGATCACAGCTCGGGTCGCTGGGCAGAAGTGCCATGAAAGGGCCCACAGAAGGATCCAAGCCTTTGGCGAGGAGAGAGGCAGTGCCGAGCAGAGCAGAGAGGCAACCAATTACCATATTTATGTTGACATGGACATAGATCACACATCACGATCATCCTGTTGTTCGTCGATTGCCTCGAGCAGGCCCCAGTAACGTCTCCTTCGTCCTAGTCCTGAGATTTTTTTAAAAAGTGCCATATTCAAGGCTCTTTCGGGGTTAGGGGAATGAGACCCATCCTTGTTACTGGTATCTGGCATATTGAGTATGCCACAGGGAGTTTGCCAGACTCTGCCATGTGGGCAGGATACATTCAGTAGCCTGCCGGGTTGTCCAAAGTAAGAACGAGAGGGCTTTATCAAGAGCCAGAAAAGGAACTGCCCCTTTAAGATTCCACATAAAAATCAAATCAATCAAATCAATATGCAATTTCCAATAAACTGGTCTTGACTTCCTGATTATTTGTCTTCCGATTCTTTTATTGTGGGGGGAAGAATGGACTTTGGCTACTCCCCCATCAGTGCTCAGGGCCCAGAGATCACTCCTAGAGGGGCTGGTAGACAGTAGGTGGTGCGGCATATTTATGTTGACGTGGACAAGATCACGCATCAACAACACATTTCAGGAATACACGCTGCAGGTAGAGTGTCCCTGGGAGAAGGGTCCTGTTTCTGCAGAGGTGGCCGGCACGTAGCTAGGGTCTACACGGAAGAATGGCAGTGGGGAGGAGCTGAGAGGCCGTCCTCAGGGTGGAGAGGTGGGCAGCTGTGTGGACACTCTTCTGGGCCAGGGTGGGTGGCCCGCGGCTCGCCCAGGGCCGCCAGACGCAGCCGCACACACTCGGCCGTCAGCCGCGCTTCTGGGTCTGCATCCCAGCCGTCCTCCAGGAGATCCCTCAGGCCCCCGGGAACCTGCAGGAGGGACCAGGTGTAGCGGGACCCCAAGCTCCTGAGAGTCCCCCGAGTGGCCCCCGAGTTCAGAAAGGTGTCCGTGACTCCTGTGGTTTTCATTTTTATTGGGGGAAGGGGAGTCTGGGTCCACACCTAGAGGTGATTAGGAACTACTCCTGGGCCTGTGCTCAGGGCTCACACCTGCTATTGCCATAAGCAAGGCAAGCACCTTAACCCCTTCACTGTCTCTCCTGCCTTTCCTGTTTCTTTGTTGTTGTTGTTTTTTCTTTTTGGGTCACACCCGGCGATGCTCAGGGGTTACTACTGGCTCATGCACTCAGGAATTGCTCCTGGTGGTGTTCAGTTGACCATATGGGGTGCTGGGAATCGAACCGGGTTGGTCGGCCGCGTGCAAGGCAAACGGCCTACGTGCTGTGCTATCACTCCAGCCCCTGTTGTTGTCTTATAATTTGTTTTGGTGCCACACCAGGAAGTTCTCAATATTTACTTCGGGCTCTATACTCAGATACCACTCCTGGCAGGCTGGGGGACCACATGGCACGCTGGAGATCAAATCGGGATCAGCTGCATGAAAGGCAAGCACCTTACCTGCTGTTCGATAGCTCTGGCCCCCTACTTTTAACAGGATTTTGTTTTTTTGTTTGTTTGTTTTTAAATTTTAGGTCACACCCAGCAATGGTCAAAGGTTACGCTTGGATCTGCACTCAGGAATTACTCCTGAAGGTGCTCCGAGTACCCTTTGGGATGCCGGGGATCGAACCCGGTTGGCCGCGTGTAAGGCCAACACCCTACCCACTCTACGATTGGTCCAGTCCCTGCTTTTAACGCTTCTGACCCTTTCTGGAGCCTCACGCTCAGTGAATTTTTTCCCTCTGCCTCTTGTTCCTTATGAAACAAGTTTTTAGGGTTGCCTTTATTTATTTGGGCTGGAGCGATAGCACAGCGGTAGGGCGTTTGCCTTGCACGCAGCCAACACGGCTGACCCGAGTTCGATTCCTCCGCCCCTCTCGGAGAGCCCGGCAAGCTACCGAGAGTATCTCGCCCGCGCAGCAGAGCCTGGCAAGCTCCCCGCGACGTATTCGATATGCCAGACACAGTAACAACAAAGTCTCCAGTGGGGACGTTACTGGGCCCGCTAGAGCAAATCGACGATCAACGGGAGGGCCTTTTTTTTTATTTATTTAGTTTTGAGGCAGGAGGGCCATACCTAGCAGTGCCAGGGCTTATGCCTAGCTCTGTGCTCAGGAGTCCCTCCTGGCATTGACCAGGTACCATATGTGGTGCCGAGGATTGAACCTGGGTCAGCTGCAGACAAGGGAAGGGCCTTGCTCACTGTGCTGTCTCTCCAGCCTTCTCCTTGCCTCTCCGAGGATTCATCCTCTTCTCTGAAGAATGAGTCGAGGTCAATAACTTTACATGCTAATGGGAAGTCTCTCTCCTTCCCTTGGCTAACCAGGATTTTTACAAACAACACTCCAGCTTCCATATCTAACCCAGCAAATATTTGCGCAAGGAAACTTCAGATGAGTTGGTAGGGGGCGGGATTTCTTGTTAAGACACCCTTTGGGGGCTGGAGCGATAGCACAGTGGGTAGGGCGTTTGCCTTCCACGCAGCCGACCTGGGTTCGATTCCCAGCATCCCATATGGTCCCCCAAGCACCACCAGGAGTAATTCCTGAGTGCATGAGCCAGGAGGAACCCCTGAGCATCGCCGGGTGTGACCCAAAAAAACAAAACAAACAAACAAAAAACAAAAAGACACCCTTTGTGCAGACCTTTGAAATTTTACTGTTAAGCCACTGCTTTGACTTTTTTTTTTTTTTTCTTTTTGGTCACAGCTGGCAACGCTCAGGGGTTCCTCTGCACTCAGGAATTACTCCTGATGGTGCTCAGGCGACCATATGGGATGCCAGGAATCAAACCCGGGTAAGCCATGTGCAAGGCAAACGCCCTCGCCACTGACCTATCACTCCAAACCCACCACTGTTTTAACTCTTTTTTACCCTAGAGTGTCTATTCCTGGGTCATAGCAGAAACGAAGATCTGTAGGGCCTATTAAAGAATTCCCAATATGAGGGGCTGGAGCAATAGCACAGCGGGTAGGGCGTTTGCCTTGCACGCGGCAGACCCGAGTTCGATTCCCAGCATCCCACATGGTCCCCTGAGCACCGCCAGGGGTAATTCCTGAGTACAGAGCCAGAAGTAGCCCCTGTGCATCGCCGAGTGTGACCCAGAAAAAGAAAAAAAAAGAATTCTCAATATGAGATTGAATATTGGGTTCCAGCTGGGACCGGAGAAAGGATAAACCATCTTGAAGGCAGAACTCAGGATAGAAGCGGTCACAGAGGGCTTCCTGAAGGCGGAGACTAAGAAGAAAGAAAATAAACAGGCCAAGCAAGACTGAGTGGGTGGAAGACTCTGGACTGACTGTGTGAGAGTAACAACGGAAGAGGATAAACTGGGGTCCAGAGCAAGTCTGCCCAGCTTCAGCTGAAGGTGAACCAGGATTGGCAGGAAGAGAAAGGAGACAGGAGCCAGCCTGGCCGGGATCAGACACTCTGCCCCTCATCCAGTAAACCCGGGGTCACCCAGCAGCCGCTGGCCTCTTACCGTGGTGCAGCTGGGCCAGGTGGGCGGAATGGAGGGTCGCCTTCTCTCCTCCACGACGAAGGTCCACAGCTCACAGGTGGTGGGGCTGCTGCCCAGTTCTGCCTCGTAGGCCAGTTGGAAGGGCGGCGGGGCGCCGTCTGCAGAAAAGCCACAAGGCAGCTGTCAGCTAAGCCTAGCGGGGCCTCCTTGGTGGAAAGGCCAGCGAGGCGAAGAGCAGGAGGGAGGTGCGTTGAGGACGGGTCGAGTGGCGGGATTTCTGACCCGGTCGTAAATCTTGGCAACGGCTGAGGACCTCCCAGAGGAGCAGGGCCAGGGAGTAGACGTCAGCTCTCCGGAGGGCCGTGCCCCAGTCCTGCAGGTCCAGAGTCTTGTCTAAGAGCTCCGGGGCCATGTACCTCTGGGTGCCAGCCTGGAGAGCGAGATGTGGGGGGCCTAGAACCATCGTGGCAACCCAACCCTCACTGCATCCGTGGTCGATGCAGTGTCCCGCCCCACCACCATCCTCCTTAGCCACAGTCCTCACCTCCATGATGGCGGCTGGCCCTCGGGGTGGCGTCGGGGCCCATGCTGGGGGCTGAGTGAGGCCGGGGAGCACCAAGGCGAGACCCAGGTCTCCAATAGCACATGACCCATCGTCCCGAATGAGCACGTTCTGGCTGCTCAGATCTCGGTGGGCGATACCAGGTTTATACTGGCCTGTGGGAGCAGCCAAAGGTCGAAGGGGCCTGGATCCTCCTCCTGCCTCTCTCACCCAACTCCTTCCCTTCCAAGCTAAGGGAGGATCGGAAACACAGTAGTCGGGGCTCCGGATTCCCTCAGCTTCCTGCTCCCCGCACACCCACCGTCCAGCCAGCGCTCCTCGTGGAGAAACGCCAGGCCCTGCACCAGAGACAGCGCCATCCGCAGAGATCCACGCCAGTCACTGGTGTGCTGGGACAGGTAGTGGCACAGGGAGCCCTGGGGAGAAGCAGAGACAAGGGTGGGAGTGCTGGTCCGACTTTCCCGGGCATCCGCCCACACACCAGCACATGGCACATCCAGACGAGGCTAGAAGGCGGCAACAGAGAACGCGCCTCACCCAGACCACCCCGACCAACAAGAGTACCTCGTGTTCAGATGAACCGTACATGATTGTGTGGGGGGGGGGTCCCCACAAACACCCCTCCCCAGGAGGTCAATGTCCCCGTCGCTCTCATTTCCACAGATGAGGCACATGAGAGCCCAATCATCTTGCAGGAAGAGACTCGCCCCCAGATCGGAGTCACTTTCAACTCCCTGACACTGCCTCGGTGTACTGGGATGGAGATGGGAACAGAAGAGCAGGGCAGAGCTGGGTGACGCTGCAGCGGGTGGTCCTTGGCGACCCAGGTGTGATCCCCGGCATCCCCTAGTTCCCTCAAGCCCCCCAGGAGAGATTCCTGAGTGTAAAGCCAGGAGGAAGCCCTGAGCACTGCCAGGTGTGGTCTCAAGAACAAGGTCCGGTATGGTCTGGGACCCCTTCTTCTGCACCCTTAGTTCATCCTCTTTCTCTTCTTCTACAGTCGTTCCCTCTTTCAGCACTTGACACACTTAACATAGTACAATTTATTATGACTGTTGTTGTTATTATTACTGGGGAGGCTTGGGGGCCACACCTGGCAGTGCTCAGGGGTTATTCCTGGATCCGTGTTCAGGAGCGAACCCTCGTGGTACTTGGGGAGACTAGATGCACTACTGAGGATTCAAACCAGCATCAGTGGGATATGAGGCGAGCGCGTTACTCCTGCTGCTGTCTGTCTGGCCCAGTGACACTTACTTTTTATTTTTATTAGTGAAACACCACGAGGCACAGTTGTAGACTTACAGATTCTTGTGCTTGGGTTTCAGTTATACAATGATCGAGTACCCGTCCCTCCACCAGTGCCCATTTCCCACCACCACTGATCCCAGTATCTCTCCCACCCCCCACCCACCCCCCATCCCACCCTGCCTCTGTGGCAGGGCACTCCCTTTTGCTCTCTCTCTCCTTTTGGGTGCTTGGTTTGCAAAAGAGGCATTGAGTGGCAATCCTGTTCGGTCTATAGTTTACTTTCAGCAAGCATCTCCCATCCTGGGTGGATCCTCCCAACACCTTTATTTGGTGCTCCCTTCTCTATCTGAGCTGCCTTTTCCCCTAGCATGTGTGGCTGGCCTCCAAGCCATGGAGTGAACCTCCTGGTACTAATCTCAGCCACTCTTGGGTGTTAGTCTCCTATTTTGTTACTTTATGTTTCCCAGATGAATGCAATCTTTCTATGTTTGTCCCTCTCTTTCTGACTCATTTCGCTTAGCATGATACTTGCCATGTAGTACCACTTGTATATGAATTTCATGACTTCATCCTTTCTAACAGCTGCATAGTACTCCATTGTGTAGATGTACCAAAGTTTCTTTAACCAGTCATCTGTTCTCGGGCACTCAGGTTTTTTCTAGATTCTAGCTATTGTAAACAGTGCTGCAATGAACAAACAAGTGCAGACAGTGACATATACTTTTATGCTTACTCGATCCACATGTCTTTTCTCCACGCCTCTGTAAAATCTGTGAAGGCAAGATCTGGGTGTATTTTCCCTAGCGCTCACGACTACGCCCCATAGTTCCTAAATTACTCAATAGGGGCTCAGAGAGATAGTATAGGGGGGGTAAGGCACTTGCCTTGTACGTGACCCACATCACATATGGTCTTCAACCCCTGGCCCCTGTTGTTTTTATTGTCATTGTTGTTGTGATGACTGGGGTGCACACATGCCTCATTATTCACACATTTTTAGCTTTTTTTTTCCTTTTTGGGTCGTACCCAGTGATGCACAGTGGTCACTCCTGGCTCCACATCAGGAGTTACTCCTAGTGGTGCTCAGGGGACCATATGGGATGCTGGGAATCGAACCCGGGTCACTCGCATGCAAGGCAAACGCCCTACCCGCTGTTTTTTAGCTATTTTTTGATGGTGATTGCATATCACACATTCGACCACATTCAGGACTCACCGGCGTTTGTGTTGTGATGTCTATACACATGCTTGCCGGAGCTCATGCTCACACCCGAGGCCCCTAAGTTATGGCTTTAGTACTCTCGTGGGGCCACCACAGTGCTCACGCACATCCTTGCCAGAACTTGCCCTTCCTGGCCATGGTGTTCATCCATCTTTTTAGTTATGAGATCCACCTGAAGTCACACCCCGTATGTGGTGCCTACATACACCTCTCTGCCATGTGGCCCAAAATCACGTGTGTTGTGCGTGACAACAAACTGCAGAGCGACCAGGATCATGCTCGACTCATGTGAGACACTGGGGACTTGGATTCATGACCATGCGCAAGGCAGATGCTCTAAGTCAAGACTTCTTTAATTTTTTCCACTCCTGGCTCTTTTCTCCTCAAAAACATTTTTATGACCCCAGGGAAGTTAGATATTTTAGTATACAAATCAAATATTTATCAGTTATTAATCGTGAGACCAGAGCAATAGGACAGTGGATTGCACACAGGTGACCCAGGTTTGATCCCCAGCACCCCATATGGTCCCTCAAACACCACCAGGAGTGGTTCCTGGAGTGCAAAATCAGAAGGAACCCCTCAGAATTGCTGGGCGTGGCCCCCAAACAACAGCAAAAACCCACAGAATATATTTCGATGTGATCCCCACATTCATTCATATTACAACACAGCTTAAGAAGCTAGGTTCGCGGGGGCTGGAGCGATAGCACAGCAGGTAGGGCGTTTGCCTTGCACGCAGCCAACATGGCCGACACAGGTTCGATTCCCAGCATCCCATATGGTCCCCTGAGCACCGCCCGGAGTGATTCCTGAGTGCATGAGCCAGGAGTAACCCCTGAGCATCGCTGGGTGTGACCCAAAAAGCAAAAAAAAAAAAAAAAAAAAAAAGTTAGGTTCGGGGCTGGAGCAATAGCACAGCGGGTAGGGCATTTGCCTTGCATGAGGCCAACCCGGGTTCGATTCCCAGCATCCCATATGGTCCCCCGAGCACCGCCAGGAGTGATTCCTAAGTGCAAAGCTAGGAGTAACCCCTGAGCATTGCCAGGAGTGATCCAAAAAGGAAGAAGAAGAAGAAGAAGAAGAAGAAGAAGAAGAAGAAGAAGAAGAAGAAGAAGAAGAAGAAGAAGAAGAAGAAGAAATAGGAGGAGGAGGAGGAGAAGGAGAAGGAGAAGAAGGAGAAGGAGGAGGAGGAGGAGGAGGAAGAGGAGAAGAAGAAGAAGAAGAAGAAGAAGAAGAAGAAGAAGAAGAAGAAGAAGAAGAAGAAGAAGAAGAAGCAGCAGCTAGGCTCTAGGGGATGGAGAAATTCAGCTCAATGGGTTGGTGTGATGCTTTGTTGGTGTGATGCTTTGTGTGCCGGAGGCTGGCATATGAGCCCCAGCACCACACACTGTCTCCCCAAGCACCACCAGGAGCAAACCCCAGAGCGGGGAGTAGCCCCTGACCACCAGTTGAAGTGGCAAAATAAAAGTGAGGCTCTTTCTTAGGGGTGCTGGGGGTTGGACCTCATCGACGCGAGGCGAGGGTTCTACCGCTGAGCTGCATCCCTGGACCCAACAACGATTTTCTTTAAGGTTGGGAGTATCAACTGCTTTGATGACTTCCTTTCCTTTTTTTTTAGACTTCCTGAGTTAAAGATATCAGCTACGGGGCCAGGGGGAGAGGACAGTGGGTAGGGCGCTTGCCTTGCGTTCAGACGACCCAGGTTCGATCCCCGGCATCCTATATGGTCCGCCAGGAATAATGAAGCAAGTACTGCTTATGGGACAACAGGGGAAAAGCAAACCCAAAAATCGTTCTTTGCATTTGGATTATTTTCTTGTTTTTAGGCTCCCCAGTGGTTTAACTGGTGGTGCTCGGGAAGCCAGAAGGTGCCAGGGATCGAACCTGGAGCCAAGTGTGCAGTCCGGCCCTTCGAGCTGTCAAAATATTACAGGCCTAAAACTCGATTATCATCAACCTTGCAAATCATAGCTCTTTTTCTTTTTCTTTTTGGGTCCCACCCGGCGGTGCACAGGGGTTCCTCCTGGTCATGAACTCAGGAATCAGGCCTGGCGATGCTCGGGGGACCCTATGGGATGCTGGGAATCGAACCAGGCAAATCATAGTTCTTCAATGTAAAAAGTCATAAGAAAAAATCATCGATCTTTCAGAGAGGAGGAAACCAGAGCGGAAAAGCAAGCGAGGCCAGGCCCCGCGGCAGCCCCCTCCCGCCGGCCGAGACACGGAGGGACCTCCCGGGGGTGGGCGCTCACCTTGGGGTGCAGTTCCAGCACGAGCAGCGGCCCCGGGGGCAGGGGTCCCGGGCCACCCCTGCCGGCCGCGATGAGGCGCACAAGGTGGTCGTGCCGCAGGCCCGGCAGCTCGTACAGGGCTCTCTCGGCGCGGAACCGGGCCGCCGCCCTGGGCGCGAAGGCCTTGACGGCCACCGGCTGGCCCCGGAGCCGCCCGGCCCACACCGCCGCGTGGCCGCCTTCCCGGATCACCTGGCGCGGGGCGGACGGGGCGGTGGGCCTCGGGGAGCCGCGCGGGACGCCCCCGCCCCCGCCCCCTCGCGGCCCGGCACCCACCTGCGAGAGGCGCAGCTCGGGCACCCGCGGGAGCCCCGCGGCCCAGTCCCGCTCGGACCCCGGCTCGGGCGCGGGCGCGGCGGGGCCTCCCCGCACCCGCGCTCGGCGGGCCGCGCGCTGGCGCAGGGCTGCGGGGGAGAAGCCGCTCGCTGGGGGGACGCGCACGCACCGGGAAGGACCGCCCCGGGCCCGGGTCCGGAGACGGGGAGAGGAGTCGGGGGGCTTGGGGCTCTGGGCGGGGACCCGGGAGTGCGAGGGAGCAGGTGAGCACCCGGGAGGGGGACGGGACAGGTGAGCACCCGGAGCGGGACGGGACAGGTGAGTACCCGGGAGGGGGACGGGACAGGTGAGCACCTGGAGGGGGACAGGGCAGGTGAGTACCCGGGAGGGGGCGAGGGAGGGAGCAGGTGAGTACCCAGGAGGGGGACAGGACAGGTGAGCACCCGGGAGGGGGACGGGACAGGTGAGCACCCGGAGCGGGACAGGACAGGTGAGTACCCGGGAGGCGGAGGGAGCAGGTGAGTACCCAGGAGGGGGACAGGACAGGTGAGTACCCGGACGGGGACAGGGCAGGTGAGTACCCGGACGGGGACAGGCCAGGTGAGTACCCGGACGGGGACAGGGCAGGTGAGTACCCAGCACGACGCTCGCCGGTAGCAGCAGCAGCAGCAACAGGACGCCCAGCAGCGCCAGCGCCAGCCAGATGGACCCGCCTGGACAGGGGGCAAGAACCAGTCCAGGGAGCCCTGCTCCCAGCGGTGCGCTGCCCACCCCCCTGCTCAGAAAACTCGCTGCCCACCCCACCCCCACCCTGCACACAAGCCCCCTTATCTCCAGTCGCCAGGGCAACCACCCAACTTCTCAAGGCCAGGAGGAGGGAGTCTTGCTCGGGACGGGCAGCCGCGCAGGAACCTCGCCTGCCAACCTGGGCCCCCGCCCGCGCCCCTGGCTCCAGCCCCGCCCGTGCTACCTGGGGCCGGCTGGGGGCCGTGGGAGCCGGCAGCGCCCGGGCCCCCAGGAGCAGGCATCTGGCTGTAGTTGGCGTTGCAGAGGTCAGAGGCGCAGGAGCAGGTGAAGAGGGTGGAGGTGGGGCGGGGCTGGGCCCTGGGGCTCAGCTCACAGTGGGGGGACTCACAGCCCGGCTCGTCACTGTCGCGGCATCCTGCAGTGGGGCATCAGCGGAAGGGGAGGAAGGTGAGAGAGTCAGAGGAGGAGGAAAAGCATCCCCTTTCCTGGCAAAAATCCCCCCCCCCTGCACATCCCATTTCCTGTCCTTCCCCTGTTGCCCTCTGACCCCCAACCCGCCCCCCAGAGTCTACCCGTCCCAGCGCTATCACCTGCCAGGTACGCACTTCACCGCTCACCTTGCATCTCCACCTGTGCCTGGTCCTGGGTCAGGTTCCAGATCCCAAAGCAGCATCGGCTGTAGAGGCAGCGGATGACCCTGGGGGACTCTTGTCCTGTGTCCAGCAGCTTTCCCAGTGCCTTGGTGCTTCCCCGAACTCGGGGGGCCTCAAAGAACACACAGGTTCGCCTGCTGGGGGGTCCTGCTGCAGCCCAGGAGAGGGAGAGGGCCAGGCGTGAAGGGGAAGTCAACGCAGAGGCGAGAGAGACCAGCGGCCAAACCTCTCCAGCATGAGAACGCCGCAGGAGGAAGAGGGAACCGGCCACCGCTCGCCATGGGGGCTTCGCCCTCACCTGCCCACCCCCTCACCCCTCTTCCAAGGAGCGGGAGCTGCTTCAGGGACCCGCCCTGCAGACACCCACCTGTGGGCACAGCTGTGGGAAGGAGGGCCCCAAGCCCCAGTGTCCCCAGCATCAGGCCGAAGGAGGCTGCGGCGTCCAGCGAGCAAGAGCTGACCAGCTGGCCCGGGCCAGAGCTGCCTGCAGACACAGGGCACTGTGGGGCTTCTCATCCCAGTCCCCAGCTCCGCCTCCTGCCTCTTATCCTCTGTGGGGGAGATGCCGCTGTGGGGGAGAGAATGGGTGTGGGCAGAAGCAGGGAGAGGGACGGGGGAGCAGAGAACCAACCTCGCATCCTCTTTTTTACTCTGCAAAGTGGGAGGAGGGGGCCTTGGAGGCCCCTCAGAGAGCCCAGTGATGCCGAAATTCCAACATCTGCCCTGAGCTGGCCCTGGGAAGGTGCTGAGTTCTGTCGCCCCTGAACCTGGAAACCAAGATCAAGTGCTAAGACCCATTCATCAGGGCTGGAGCAATAGCACAGCGGGGAGGGCGTTTGCCTTGACCCGGGTTCGATTCCCAGCATCCCATATGGTCCCCTGAGCACCACCGGAAGTAATTCCTGGGTGTAGAGCCAGGCATAACCCCTGTGCATCGCTGGATGTGACCCCCCCCCAAAAAACACCCATTCCCATTCCTTAGGGTTCAAGACCCCTTCCTTTGGGGTTCGTAATTTTGATCTGGCTCAGTGCCCGGAGCATCTTTCCTGACGGTACTTGGGGACCGAACCATGGTCTCCCGCACGCAAAGGATGGATTCAGCCCATTCAGCTAGCTTTCCGGGCCACCAACACCTCTTCTGAACCTGATTTTCAGGAGAGACTTCGCAGTCCATCCCAGAGGTGACCTTATTTTCCAAATCCAGGAATCAGAAAGCCGTAATAAAATTTCTCAAGTTAAAAAATTTGTATATCCAGTGTAAATGTGTATGATGATAAATTTTATGGTACATTACACGAAAATTTTCAACTACATTAAGTCATACGCCAAAGAAATCATTATTAATTTGGGATTTCTTTAGGGAGGAGGAGGGATATACCTGGCTGTGTTCAGGGCTCACTCCTGGCTGTGCACTCAGGGATCACTTCTGGTGAAACCCACCAGGTTTGGAGGAACCATATGCGGGGCCAGGGATCAAACCCAGGTCTCCTGCATGCAAAACAAGCATCTCACCTGCTATTATCTCTCTGCCCCTCATTGGCTATTTAATATCTTCACTTTATATGTAAGAAAGCTGGGGCTGGAGCAATAGCACAGCGGGGAGGGCGTTTGCCTTGCACGCAGCAGACCCGGGTTCAATCCCCAGCATCCCATATGGTACCCTGAGCACCGCCAGGAGTAACTCCTGAGTCCAGAGCCAGGAGTAACCCCTGTGCATCGCCGGGTGTGACCCAAAACACACACACACACAAAAAAGAAAGCTGAGGTTAGGTAACTTAGTTAAGGACACTCTACTAATATCCCAACAACAGAGTTGGGATTTAAAAAAAGTTGGAACTTTTTTGTGTTTGAGTCACACCTGGTGATATTCAGGAGATAGTTTTTCCTCTGCTCAGGGATCACTCCTGGTGGTGCTTGGGGGACCATAGGAGAGGGTATAGGTGGTACTTGGGGGGCCATAGGTGGGCTACATGCAAAGCAAGTGCCTTACCCACTGTACCATCTCTCTGGTCCCCAGAGTTGGGATTTAAAACAGGAAAATTTGAGTCTGAAGCCCAGGCTCTGTTCTTTGCATTAGGCCATGATGCCTAAAAAAATTAATTCAAAGCAACCTTTTAAAATTCCAGAATAATTAGCAATACTCCTACATTTAAAAAAAATCCCAAAAGAATCCTCAAAATGCTTTACCTCTCTGTAAATGATCAGTCACACCTATACCTCAAACCTTCCCAGATATTCTTTGAGCATGTTTCCAGTTCTGCACTAAACAGGCCATTTTTATGATCTGAAAAATAAATAAATAAATAAATAAAAATCCATTTAAGAGGAGGGGAGATAGTACACATATCTTAGGACACATATTTTGAAGCACTCGACCAGGGTTTGATCCCCAGCATCAGCCTTTTGAATGTCACTGGGTGTGGCCCGAAGACTTCCAAGGATCTCCCAGGTAGCCGTGGTGATCTCTAGCATGGCGAAGTCCAAACGCCATCCTGTCTTTGGGTCTTAGCACGAGCCAACAGCCTGGCTGGCCAAGTACCATTTGAAGTAGCTCCTGGGTTCCCTGGGCACCACTTGAGAGCCCCCTTAACCCAATTTTTCATTTAAAATAGTATCACTGTATCACTATCATCCTGGTGTTCATCGATTTGCTCGAGCAGGCACCAGTAACGTCTCCATTCGTCCAAGCCCTGAGACTTTAGCAAGTGCCACATTGGAGGCTATTTCAGGGTCAGAGGAATGAGACCCATCATTGTTACCGGGTTTTGGCATATCGAATACGCCACGGGGAGCTTGCGGACTCTGCCATGCAGGCAGGATACTCTTGGTAGCCTGCCAGGTTCTCTGAGAGCAAGAACTAGACAATAAGAGGTCGCATGGCTGCGCGCTTCCAGGAACTTGGTTTTATATTCTCTGGATGTTGGCAGTTGCTGGCATTACATGGGGCTGGGGGTAGTTGGTGGGTGTAACTGTCTAGCTACTGGAAGAAGGGGGATCTGGGTGGAGGAGACAGAGTCAGCTGCCCCTGAGCCCGGCCGTCTTCACCAGGGTCCCTTGGAGGGGGGGCAGGTTGAGTTTCCCTCCCTGCTCCGATCAGAGCCCTGCCAGCTGAAGACCTCCGGAACCCAGTCACAGCCATGCTCAAGCCCACTCTCCACATGCTCCAACGAGCCTCACACATGAAGGAGCCGGCAGGGGAACCCAGGTGTGCGGGACCCGGAACTGAGATCTCCAAGCCTGCTCAGATCGGGACTGGCCCTCCTCCACCCAGATTTAATATAATATTTGAATATTTTAATTTTAGTTTGGGGGACATGCCTTGTACTTCTTAGGGAACCGGGTAGTGGTGAAAATTAAATCTAAGATTTCTGCATGCAAATCATGCACTTCAACTCTTTGAGTTACCTCCCTGGCCCTTAATTTAGATTGTTGAGGGGGCAAATGCAACCCGGACGCCAGGGAGATGGCTCAAAGTGGTGGGGCACATGGGGCTGGAGCAATAGCACAGTGGGTCGGGCATTTGTGTTGCATGTGGCTGACCTGGGTTTGATCCCCAGCATCCCATATGGTCCCCTGAGCACCGCCAGGAGTAACTCCTGAGTGCAGAGCCAGAAGGAATCCCTGTGCATTGCTGGGTGTGACCCAAAAAGCAAAAATAAAATAAAATTAAAAAGTGGTGGGGCACAGGCTTTGCCTGTGGAAGCTCTGGATGTGATTCCCAGCACTGCGAGGTCCACAGACCCGCCTCACCAGGAACAGCCTTCCAGCACTGCAGGCGTGGCCGAACAAACAACAGGTACCATTCTCTGCCAGGAGGTCACTAACTAGAAAAGAGGTTACAGTTCAAACGATCACCACCAGGGGTCAGCAAACATATGGAGAAATTCAGAGTTTAGTAAAAGGCAGAAACTTTTTGTCCAATACCCATAGGACACTCCTCTATCTGTCAAGCTGCAAAATCTATAAAATAGAAAGCTAAAATAGAAAAATAAAAACAGGGGCCAGGGAGATGGTGCAGTGGGCAAGGCACTTGCCTTGCACAGGGCCAACTAGAGTTTTATCCCTGGCATCCTGTATGGTCCTCAGAACATTGCCAGGAGAAGTTCCTGAGTGCGGAGCCAGGAGTAACTCCTGAGCATTGCCAGGTGGGGCTCAAAAACAAACCAAAAATAGAAACCAGTGAGAAATGGGCTGGAGAGATGGCATCAAGGGCTAGGGTATATATTTTGTATGCAAGAGAGCCTTTTGAGCCCTCTCCTGGGACTCTGCAGTTCTTTTTTTTTTTTTTTTTTAGTTTGGGTGTCATACCTGGAGATGCTCAAGGGACACTCCTGACTCTGCACTCAGGAATTATTCCTGGCAGTGCTCAGGGGACCATTCCTGGGATGCCGGAAGTGGGACTTGGGTCAACCCTGTGTAAGGCAAGTGCCACACCTGCGGTATTATAGCTCCAGGCCCGAAGTACCTTTTAGTTTGTTTGGTTGTGGACTACATACAGCTGTGCTCAGAAATTACTCTTTTTTTAATTTTTTTGTGGAGAGCCCGGCAAGCTACCCAGAGTATTCGATATGCCAGACACAGTAACAACAAAGTCTCCAATGGAGACGTTACTGGGCCCGCTCGAGCAAATCGACGATCAACGGGAGGGCCTTTACTTACTTACTTACTTACTTGGGGGGGAAGGTGTTGGTGCCATGATCAGTGGTGCATAGGATTTACTCCTGGCTCTGCACCCAGGGATCACTCTGGTGGGACTTTGAAACAATATAGGGTGCTGTTTATTTATTTATTTATTTTTTGCTTTTTGGGTCACACCCGGCGATGCTCAGGGGTTACTCCTGGCGGTGCTCGGGGGACCATATGGGATGCTGGGAACCGAACCCGGGTCGCCAAGGTTGGCTGCGTGCAAGGCAAACGCCCTACCCGCTGTGCCATCGCTCCAGCCCCTATAGGGTGCTGTTTAGATGAATGCAAGGCCTATCCAGATAGCTCTCTCGATCCTGAGTAGTAACTTTAAAAAAAAAATCCCTTTTATAAGCACTTAGCAGCACTGTCCTCCCGTTTTTCATTGATTTGCTCAAGCGGGCCCAGTAACGTCTCCATCGTGAGACTTGTTGTTACTGTGTTTGGCATATCAGATACATCACAGGTAGCTTGCCAGGAACATTTGAAATATTTTACTAATAAATACAACCAACGGTTTACTTAGATTTCTATTTATTTTATGTCAAGCATATTCTTCTGCTGTTTTTTTTTGTTTTTGTTTTTGTTTTTTTGCTTTTAGGGTCACACCTGGCGATGCCCAGGGGTAACTCCTGGCTCTGCACTCAGGAATCACTCCTGGTGGTGCTCAGGGGACCATATGGGATGCTGGGAATCGAACCTGGGTCGGCCGCGTGCAAGGCAAACGCCCTACCCG